TCATATTTTCAAATTCACATTTTTGTGGATTTCAATACTGCTTAGTATTCATATGATGATTTTAAGACAGAATACTTTATTTTTTGGTAAACAATAGGACCCCTTCCTTCATCTAAGAATCAAAGTACTCAAATTTTTGTAATATATTTTGGGGGAACATCAAATATTAGTACCAAGGAAAATAAATGAATTTGTTGTACAACTTGTCATATATCTATATTTAGTTGACCCTGCCACCACTCCACCCACCTATCATCTGTAAATAATCCATCTTGACTGCTGCCACTCCAAGACATGTACTAATTGTATGAAAAAATGGGAACCAGCCTGCAAATGTTCGCACATAAAATAAAGTATAGATGTGTTTTGCTGGCCAGGCTTGGTTAGTAATGTCAGTTATGTTTTAGGAGAAAGAATATTTTAAGAGCTTATCCTAGTTGTAAATGAAAAAAAGACATTATGTTATTGATGGAATTTGAGTTATTTAACAGACTTGAGTTTGGAACTCTCATTGCTAAAATTAGCACCTAACTCTTTGGTTGGGATTGAAAGCACATGTTTCAATCACATGTAGTTTCAGAAAATGCCACAGCTCATAGCCTTTTCTCTGCATGGAAGCTGACATCCAGGTTTCAACTATACTGATAAATATAGGTTTATAACAAGCACTCAGAAATATGAAGTTACTGAATTTTTAATATCATGGTGTTGCATAGGTTTACTATGGGAACTCAAGACTGTGAGTCCTCCACTCATTTGTCTACTACAAGTAATATTGTATATCTTGGCATCATCTACATGTATGTCCAGTTGACCCTGCCACTGCTCCACTTGACCTGTCAGTGTAAACAGTGATTGCTAATAAGATCTAATTAAGTGTACACATTCTGCCTTCTCATTAGCAAACACCATCATACACAATTATATATCTTACATTTAACAATTACATCATTATGAAGTAGCATGAATGCCAAGACTTTGACAATTACATCATTATGAAACAGCATGAATGCTGAGTACACAATTACTCTAAGTCTTGTGAATTAGTACGAATACCAAGTGTATGACAATTATACCATTATGAATTGCTATGAATGTGAAGTAATTCTAATTTTTATAAATTGACTATGTTTTCTGTTTTGATAGGATGTAAATGGTCACATGATGCTGATCTGGAATTTTTTAAAAATTGATAAATTCTGCAGACTACTTTTGGTACCATGTTTTCAGATCATTTGATGTGACATTTTATCTATACCAATGCATTACACCCTAATAATAGCAACAGCAAGCTCCCACCCACCCACCCACTCCTGTGATTTCTGATCAAAAATGACAAGCCATAGATTAAAATCTACCATTAGAGGTTAAAAAGATGTCATTGCACAGACCTTCCTGCACTGCAACACTCACACCTTTTGCTTTAGAAGCTAATCTTTGGAAATTATCACATTTCACTTCTACAACAGTAGTTTTTAAAGGTCAGGTCATATGTCAACCAAGGGATCTCAATAAAAATAGACACGATTTTGCTTTTGAAAGATTGAAATGCATAGAAAGTAACAAGGAGAATGCTATATCAACATGTGTCATATGCAAGCATAATTTTTAAGAAGAAAAAAAGGATTATTCCTGGTTTAACCACAATGGCCATTAGTTATATATTTAAAAAAAATCATAATTATATCACTGGCATGACCAGCTATGACATTCAACCCCATATCACTATAAAAAAATCTATGACTTTTGGCTAGCAAAGATAGGGCTATGTATTCTATTGCAATTAAGAGGCTAATGAAAGAAAACTTTAATGTACATAATAGTGAAAGTTTTGTTTATTAAATTTGCTGATCTGATGTTAAAATGCAAGTAAATAGGAATTATGATGATTAAATCATTATGGTTAGGTATTTGTTGCTTTGTAAATTTTATCTAATCACTCTAAAAGATTACATAAAGTCCTTTGGACTTTATTTACTTTGTGAGTGATTAGGTAAAATTTTCACATTGATAAATACCCAATCATGATCATTTAATCCTATAATGGATTAGTATGGATGCCAAGTATATGACAATTACATCAACATGAATTAGAATGAATGCCAAGTATATGACAATTACATCAACATGAATTAGTATGAATGCCAAGTATATGACAATTACATCAACATGAATTAGTATGAATGCCAAGTATATGACAATTACATCAACATGAATTAGTATGAATGCCAAGTATATGACAATTACATCAACATGAATTTGTATGAATGCCAAGTATATGACAATTACATCAATATGAATTAGTATGAATGCCAAGTAAATGACAATTACATCAACATGAATTAGTATGAATGCCAAGTATATGACAATTACATCAATATGAATTAGTATGAATGCCAAGTATATGACAACTACATTAGAAATTATATGTATGAATGCCAATGTATATGATAACTACATCAGTAGAAATTATATGCATGAATGCCAAGTATAGGACAACTACATCATTAGGAATTATATGTATGAATGCCAAGTATATGACAACTACATCAACATGAATTAGTATGAATGCTAAGTATATGACAACTACATCAACATGAATTAGTATGAATGCCAAGTATATGACAATTGCATCAACATGAATTAGTATGAATGCCATGTATATGACAATTACATCAACATGAATTAGAATGAATGCCAAGTATATGACAATTACATCAACATGAATTAGTATGAATGCCAAGTATATGACAATTACATCAACATAAATTAGTATGAATGCCAAGTATATGGCAACTACATCAACATGAATTAGTATGAATGCCAAGTATATGACAACTACATCATTATGAATTATATGTATGAATGCCAATTATATGACATTTACATCATTAGGAATTATTATGAATGCCAAGTATATGACAACTATATCAACATGAATTAGTATGAATGCCAAGTATATGACAACTACATCATTAGGAATTATTATGAATGCCAAGTATATGACAATTTCATTATTATACATTAGTATGAATGCCAAGTATATGACAATTGCATCATTATGAATTATGTGTATGAATGCCAAGTATATGACAATTACATGAACATGAATTAGTATGAATGCCAAGTATACAATAATTACATTATCATGAATTGGTATGAATGCCAAATATAAATATAAAATAAATATGCTATTTATATAGGAGTTAATGGTTTTTGTAATACAGTGAGTCAAACTTTCATACACATAAATAATATCTCAATCAGAATATATGACTTGAAATACCTCAATCAGAAGATAATATGACTTGAAATACCTCAATCAAAAGATAATATGACTTGAAATACCTCAATCAGAAGATAATATGACTTGAAATACCTTGAGCAGGAGATAATATGACTTGAAATACCTCAATCAGAAGATAATGACTTGAAATACCTTGAGCAGGAGATAATATGACTTGAAATACCTTGAGCAGGAGATAATATGACTTGAAATACCTCAATCAGAAGATGATATTATTTGAAATAACTCAATCAGAAGATAATAACTTGAAATACCTCGAGCAGGAGATAATATGACTTGAAATACCTTGAGCAGGAGATAATATGACTTGAAATACCTTGAGCAGGAGATAATATGACTTGAAATACCTCAATCAGAAGATGATATTACTTTAAATTTCTGTTGGATCTGATGTATTTTTCTTCCTTCAAATTTACTGGTTTTAAGTGAAATTTTACTGCAGCTTGCTTAAAATTCATCATCAGAGACCTATAATCAAGTAAAAAAAATCTTCTGTCACTTTGTTTTGTATTTTATGACTGAAAGGTTAACTCTTTTGCTTCCTACAAAGTTTGGGCTCGTGAATCAATGGACACTAATAGGAAGACAGCCCAAATAGGCAAGATTTTGACGCAAGAAAAGCAAATGATGAATAGTGAGGGGACTCCTAGTGTCATATACAACTTCAAGATAAATTTGGAATTGGCTAGACCTTGGATCTTTTCAATTATATAATAAAAGTCAGCAGTTTGTGTAGATTGGAATTGGACTGTGTCAGAGATGCTTGGATATAAATACTCCATGGAGATATATAGATATATTGTAACAATTTGTCTTCTCTTGGTGGAATTATATAGATATTTAAATTTATGTTAAATAACATTAGCCAGTCTTGATCTACTATTAAGTGTTTGTGCTACTATTCAATTCACTGGAGAAAAACTTGCTGCATATGCTGATATTCCTGTACCTCAAAATAGTATCTTATTTAAGGCTTTCATTATTGATCTCCGTCCGATACACAGTTTTAAAAAGTGTCATCATCCCTGTGTTTATGAAAGCAAAAATATGCTATATATGAAGCAGATTATAGGTTTCAACCATTCTTTTTAGCTAACCTGGCCATCAGATATGGCACTGCATCTGTCATTCCTTGTCTATGCATCTGTCAATTGTTATTTTTTTACTTTTTCTCAAAAACCACCATTCCAATTTTAAGTAAACATGGTCGATAGGATCTTGGCATGAGGACCTTTTATGTTTATGCAAATGATTTCATCCGTCAACACATGTGGACACTTTTAATGAAAAATAGAAAATCCATTAAATAATTTTTTAAAAAAAACTCCAGAACATTAATTGAAACAAATATGAGAGGGAAAGAGCATCTTGGCATAGAAGGATTTCAGTTTAGATGATGCCAATTAACTATGAAATATCACCACCAATCTAAATAGTAGAAAACCTTTAAAACAACATCTAAAAAATCATTCAGCAAATTTTACCTAATGTGACAAGGTTTACAGATTTGTACAAAATGATGCATATCCACCATTAAGTATGGTGACCAATGCTAAAAATAAAAATAAAAATCTTAAAAGACTGCTTCTTAAAACCTGGTTATGAGTATTTGAGCAAAAGTCTGATAGCATCAGATCATAGAGGGCTTTCAAATTTAAATAAATTCATGACTACTATTGCTAAACTGAGAACTGTTCTGGTTGCCGAGTGGTTAGAGTGTCCGCCTCAAATGTGGGAGGTCACGGGTTCAAACCCCAGCCAAATCATACTAAAGGCTTTAAAAAATAGTACTATCAACTGTCTCACTTGGTGCTCAGCATCAAGAGGTTAGTGTTAGTGTTACTACTGCTTGGCCTGGTGTCTGGATAATATGACTGGGTGGGACATCATGCCACATGTCTGCAGCTTAATGTCTCAGTGCTAGACATCACTATAAACCATCACACTGCAGACAACGTAGTAATATGACTGAAAAAGTGTTAAAGCTATGATAAAAATCTAAATTACACACACACCAAGACACATATACACCAAGACACACACACACACACACACAAACACACACACACACTAAACTAAGAAAATCCTTTGAACTACTTCTCATAACCACTCAGAATAATTTGGCTAACTATAACATGTTCGAATAAAGTGATGAAGCTGAAATTATTCTGACCCAAGATCAAATATATCTGCGGTTACACAAAAAGAAAAACCTTCAATAACTTATTACCACAACAACTAGCAGAATTCGACCATATTGGACAGAAGGCAGTCTACTTTAAAGGCCATTATAAAAATACCCTATGCAGATCCATCATCATGTATATTTGATGTTACCAAAATTTTAAACATAAAAACAACTTTATATGAAAGAAAGGCATGACAGAATTATTATCTTGGCAATGAAGTCTTTCATTAGTAGGCGATGGTGATGGTGATGAACCATCAGAAATAAAGGAAGAAAGAAAAACAAAAACTGCTGAACCAAGCTTGACCCAGTTGTTTTTATAGCATATATTATAGTCTGAAAGAAATTTAACAGAAAGTAGCCTTCTGACCTCAATTTCTTTGACAGCTACTCTTATATTCACTATTTGGTCTCTTTTATTTGACTATTTGGTCTCTTTTATTTGACTATTAGGTCTCTTTTATTTGACTATTAGGTTCATGTCAGCCAGGTACAAGGTGAAAAAGATCATCTCACTTGTCCTTGAGTCAAATTTGTCTTGGATAGCATGCAGTGGTCCATATATGCTTTTGAGTTTATAACTAATTTGTTTAAAATTTCTTGTAAAAATTTGTAAAACATTTTACAGGATTAGGTAAATGTTATCCTAGTTAACACTGGTTCATTTCCACAACAATTTAATTCATAGAAAACTCTGCAGACAGAGCTAACATTGTTTTCTTGAATGGTGACATAACTATCAACATTCATTGATGTAAATATTCTAACAAATCACATCAACAATTCATAGTCTCCATTGACAAACCATATCATTTTTTGCTGTACAAAAGACTTAATCCACATATATATTTAAAAAGGTTGAATTGAACAATTTTATTTAGAAAATTTAATCTGAATAATTTTACAGTAGCTATGTCAGTTAATTCCTGTCCTTGATAACACAATTCTGTGTCCAGCATTAGTACATATGGCTAACCAAGAAGAGAAGGGAGAACATCAAAGTGTATAACATGTTTGCTTCTTTGTGAAACCCCAAACAGTCTGAGTGATGAATGAGATTCCATTGTGCCAGGATATGCAAAACATTACTCAGATACTGTGCATATTTCATGTTCATGAAAGAATGTCTCATTTGATCTTCATCTTTTAACCTTATTGTAACTTTTTTATCCTCCACCATAACAGTTGTAGGGGTCTATAGTGTTACCCTTGTCCTTGGATTACTCATCCCATGGTTAAACTAAATGTCAGGGTAATTTCCTTCTTTGTGATGAGACATCCATATTCCTTGAACAAATGTATCTGAAATTTATTTTGCTAATAATTTTCTTCTCAAATTACTTACAGTTGTAAAGTATAATAATTTTTTGTTTGTTTATTTGTTTTTGTTATAGTGCAACTTGTAACACATTATTGGCTATATCAGTTTCCAAAAAATTGAAGAAAAGTACCTTTCTCAAGGACACACCAAGGTAGCTAACCCAGGCTGGTATGGGTGGGTATCAATGTTTTACCTAGGCTCACATATTGCTAACAAGGCTCACATATTGCTAACAAGGCTCACATATTGCTAACAAGGCTCACATATTGCTAACAAGGCTCACATATTGCTAACAAGGCTCACATATTGCTAACAAGGCTCACATATTGCTAACAAGGCTCACATATTGCTTTTTCAAGGAGTTGCATGAATTCCCATTGAATAAAATCCTCTTACAAATCATTTAGTATGTGAAAGTCATGCTAAGTTGATTTGCGGTTAAGTGTAACCAAAACTGTAAAAAGTCATTAAAATTAAGAGATCATGTGATATCTTAGCTCAACTTCTAAATGAAGCGCTTATTAAGAGACTTTTTGCAAGCTGAGAAGCGAGGCATTTTAGCTGATTATCTAGTCTTGTTATTAAATGATTTTTGCCAACTGCACTTGTAAGTTGGCAGACATGAAGTTGTTGGTATGCAGTGGTTGTCAGATACCTCTCCCTTACTTTGTGGGGTGGGTTGTCTGGTTTTGGTTATCCTTATCTAGAGATGATCACTGATGGTGTAATTTGCACAGAATAAGTAAATATCAATATAAAGTGTGAAACTTATGGGTGGAATAGATAAAGATCTGAGCAGGTATAGAGAACAGAATAACATGATCCCCATTTCAAATAAAGAAGATTTAATCAAAATTCATAACAATAAAATTCATAAACAATTATGGTAATACATTCTAATTGAAAGGTACACTTCTTTCTTTTTGAATTAACTTATTCAGACAAATTTCAAATACAAATATGCTTATACCAATAGCTGATTGGTTAAGCAATAGAATTAAATCATCATCAAATCAAGAGAAAGATTGAAAACACTGCCTTGTACAGTTTCATATCCTGATGGTCTTGAATCAGTCAAAATTACAAAGAGACTGCCCTTTTTGATTTCCTTGTGCCTGTAAGTCAGGGTCTTCTCCACTTTTCTCTTTCTTTTCAAAATGCAATTGTTTTCCCTGGATAATATTACTATTAAATTTACTTAAGTTCTCTTGCAAAAAAAGCATAGATTTATTGAAAATTTTGTGACTTCCACATAAAACCATGAAATTTTAATGTGGAATTATGCCCCTTTTTTAGTGTAACCAATTGCAATGAAATATATTTCCCATCTGAACTAGGCTTAAACAATGCAGTTTATCTGACAACCTAGATTACCAAATACTGTTTCTGCAATTTTACAAATATTGTAACTCCACTGCAGAATGAAAATTAACCCTTGACTGTCTGGTTTAAACAAACATAGCCCTTAACTAATAATCACTAAACTCATGACAGAGATGGTACCAATCCATTCATTATGGTGATTTAAACATGTGCAGGTCTCCATAAATCAAATTAATTGTATAACGTGTCTAACTAAATGTGTTCTACAGAGATGACAAGAAAATTTGCCCCATTACAGTGGTAATCTCTCTCTGCTGTTAACTGAAGTTGATGGCATTTTTTGTTAATATTAGCTGTTAAATGCATTTGAGGATATTTGTTGCTAGTATTAGCTGTTAAATGTAGTAGTTGATATAAGTAATAATGAATCTGTTAAATGTAGTTATTAATATTAAGTGGTGTCTACTGTTGTATTGGTATTCACTAGTAATGTTTGCTGTTAAATGCAGTTGATGATACTGATGAATACAGTTGTTGGTATTTGGTAATAATATTGCTGCTGTTGCATGCAGTTGTTGATATAGTTTTTGGATTTCATTGGAAATGTCCCTGCTGTTACATACAGTTATAATGCCTATTGTTTTATTGTCATATCACACTATCAGTGCTGTTGTGCAGATAATGAACACAAACAACTGTGTTTGTTGAAACATGCTCCATTATCTTTCTGTTAATAGATGATGTTTTTGTATAAAACCGCTCCCTTTCAAAATCGAAAATCCCATTTTATGCCAATAATCCCCCCTCAGTCTCAAAATCCTGTATTAATCACTGATGGTATGAGTAAAGGCATTTATGGCACAAGTGTTTCCAGAATTGCCTTTATCCCAAGGGACAGGCTGTTCCAGAATTTTATGTTGGTCCCACTTAGACCTCATGTTAAGTTGTAGTTTAAGGTTTGTTTTCTAAGAAAGAAATTATTGTGCATAATTTTTTTTAATGTGTATGGCTCAGAACCTGTTATTTTTCACAAATAGTTATTTTTCAGTATTCCCTTGTGAATTAAGTTGGCAGGAAGATGTAGCTTTTTGCCCATTTGTTGGTGTGTTTGTGTTCATCCATTTATTACATAATATATTCCCTGTTTATCTCCGGACCTGTTTCACCTAAACATGAACATTGATATATGGCTGTATGGTCTTGGGGGGAGTAACTGACCCATACAAAACTAGGTCATTCTAGTCGAACCTCATTTGTGACTTTCAATCAAAGTTGTGTAGCTGTTGGGCAGTCTTCTTAAAAAATGTTAGTATCCATTTTAAAATGTAGGGTACCAAGCCCTAATAAACTGGTCACTTTTAACAATGAGGGCAGAAATTAAATTAGTTCGGAATTAGTGATGGGGAAAAAGTGAAGATTCCGGTTAAAGAGAAAGTGTAATTTTAAAACTTAAATAATGTACCAAGCAGTATGTCAGCAGTGATCATCGGCTTCAATTCAGGCCAGTCATTAAATTTCACTGTTTGATGTTCTCTAAACCATCTCTCTGATTGTTGCCTTACCTCTAAACCATCTCTCTACCTTTTGCTTAATCTTGAATTTACTGAATTAAAGAACCTTAACCTGTTTTTTTTTCTATATGATTTTTTTAAAAAAAAAATACATAGTACTGTATTTAGCCTGTCTGGACTGACAGTAATTGCACATCCAACCACATGTTTTCAATATTTACCTCCTTGTATGCATTTTTCTGAATCCATACCATTAGCCTAGGTTGATAACATAGGTCACATATTAGACTTGATACTGTAATGGCTGTAAACCATATTAGGTACTTGTCGAGATGGTGATATAGTATAGCAACCAACAACCTCAAAACTGAATAAGGATTTTGCTGTGAATTAAAACCACAGAATGTTTCTAGAGTAAATCAT